TGCTGGGTCATTGTGCTCGCACGTATATATATATATATATATACATATACATATACATATTATCTATTTACACACACACATAAATACATAAATAAATGCATACATACATACAAACATACATACATGCATACATACATACATACAAACATACATACATACATACATACATACATACACACATACATACATACATACATACATACATACATACATTTAGAGATAGATAGGTAGATAGATAGATTAGATTAGATTAGATTAGACTAGATTAGATTAGATGAGATTAAATTAGATTAGATCAGATTAGATTAGACTAGATTAGATTAGATTAGATCAGATTAGATTAGACTAGATTAGATTAGATTAGATCAGATTAGATTAGACTAGATTAGATTAGATTAGATCAGATTAGATTAGACAGATTAGATTAGATTAGACTAGATTAGATTAGATTAGATCAGATTAGATTAGACTAGATTAGATTAGATTAGATCAGATCAGATTAGATTAGATTAGATTAGATCAGATTAGATTAGACTAGATTAGATTAGATTAGACTAGATTAGACTAGATTAGATTAGATCAGATTAGATTAGATTAGATTAGATTAGATCAGATTAGATTAGACAGATTAGATTAGACTAGATTAGATTAGATTAGATCAGATTAGATTAGATTAGATTAGATCAGATTAGATTAGACTAGATTAGATTAGATTAGATCAGATTAGATTAGACTAGATTAGATTAGATTAGATCAGATTAGATTAGACTAGATTAGATTAGATTAGATCAGATTAGATTAGACTAGATTAGATTAGATCAGATTAGATTAGACTAGATTAGATTAGATTAGATCAGATTAGACTAGATTAGATTAGATTAGATTAGATATGTGTGTAGATCATCTGCATTGTTGATCTCCAGGACGGATGGCGATTTGGGGCGGCTTTCCTGTACAAGGGTGAAATCCACTTTGCGATGCTGACCCACCCAGAGGATCAACCTTTTTTTTCTGAGTTGGGGATGGTCAAACTTCGTGTGAATGGGCTCCTGATACTCAAGGAGACCATCGCTGGGGGTTTGTGGCAGCATGTGCCGCAATACCATGCAGATTGTTTAGATGGATGGTTTCCCAATTAGTTTTGAACTCGACGCTTGGAATCTTGAAACTAGAAAAACAGTTGCTTTCTGACTTTCTGCCCGTTTGTTTATCGTGCGGAGTGGTGCGAGTGATTGATGAATATATCTATATTGGTCTATATCTATATGCCCGGAGTGAATGTGGAACACGAAAACTTCAGGAGTTGACAGTTCTTCATCGTGCGCACCGGGCTTGTGGTGGTGTATGGGCATGGCTGTGTGGAGTTTGCCATGGTAACGCATGCTGGGCTACATCAGCTCGCGTGCATTGTGATGTACACGTTCCACCCCAGTGCCACGCAAGCCCAGGCCCAGCATAGTCTACATAGGAAGCTCTTTCTTCAGGCGGAGCATGGCGGGGCAGTGATTCAGTGACAATGCTTGGCTTTCAAACCCCAAACCCACAAAAGGAAAAGTGTTTTTTGGGGCCCTTGGCAGTGGTAAACCGACGGGACAATTACAAGACCCAGTCATGAGTCTCGAATAGTTTGTTTGTTTCTGAGGATTTGTCATGGTTCTATTTGTCCAAAGTATCAACACATGATTTAACTTGTAGCAGTTTTTGAATACAAAAGCTTGTCACACATGTCATGTCAAGTGTGGTATTTCCAGCACGTGCGCCGTTGTCAGGACCTATGCGTTGATCAACAGCTAGGACCTGGCATAGGTGGGCAGGAGCCTCAGAAGCCTGAGTTAATGCCATCAACTCGAAAACATAACATCACTTCGCATCATTTTCAATTTTTTTGGTTCAAAAAGAAATGAAACTTGTAGCTACAGCCTGTCTTTTGAAGATAGTTTTGGATGCCTTAGAACGAGAAAACTCAAAAAATGACGATAAATTTTCAAAACCCTAAACCCTAAACCCTAAACCCCCACCCCAAAAAAAAGGGCAGCATTCCCCCCTGTATCATGGGATCTTGGGTTTTGAAATTTTGTGGGTCCACAAAATTTCAATTCAGAAATTGTGGGTCCACAAAATTTCAATTCAGAAAATTGTGGATCCACAAAAAAAAAATAACTATTGAAACTTTTGTGGAAACACAACTTTTCAATTCACGAACTTGTGGGTCCACAAAATTTTGAAATCACACTTGTGTTTCCACAAAGTTGCCATTTTGGTGATTTCAACACTTTGTCATTCTCGGCCGTCCTTGGAGATCATTGCTTGTGTCGGTTGAGAGGGTTTTCGTGTAGCCAATGCAACGAATCTCATCCAGTTACTGAACTGGATGAGATTCGTTTGTGTGATGTTGTGCAGAGATTTCTGCAAGCATTGAAATGGGGGCCTTTCTTGGACGGGGGAATATCATCCAGTTACCCAACTGGATGAGCTTCGTTTGTGTGATGTTTTGCAGAGATCTCTGGACTGCGGGGGCTTGCAAGTTTCTGTGGACAACTCTGTTTATATGACGGCATCCCGTGTGCCCAGGACATGGTTTGCGCATGGGGGTGCCTGGCGGCTCAATGATCATAGGGGATGTGCTGGGCGATGTGAAGGCATGTGAAAACTTATAGGTTCAACGATCATACAAAGTTTGCTGGCGCATATGTGGGTTTATACAAGAGATCTTGCATGGGCAGCCACATGAAGCCAGTGTCAAAACAGCACATGCGCGGCCACTTTTAGACAGTTGAGCCGCGCAAGGTACAGGCACTCTGCAGCACGGATGGGACCAATTAAAGGCTGGAATGTGGGTCACAGATCTATGTACACCTTTGCACTTTCATGGACGTTGTAGCATGAATGGACCCAAATCTAACGTTACAGCATTCAATGGTGACATGCATATACCGGATGCATTGCCCCATGTGCCCCAGTGCCCCCCATTGTGATCGCTCTTTGCGCAGGTCTTCGATGCAACTGCGAGCACATGCGAACCATGAGGCGCCAAACATGGGTTGCGGGTTGCTGAGAAGTGGTGAAGTGATGAAAGTTGTGTTCAATCTCTATAGATGCACATCAATGCTTGCCTTATTGAAGTTTATTTGGATGAATCCTCGGGATGAAAAATATTTTTAGTCATTAATTTTGATTTGAATCTCATACTGGATCTCATTCTGTCAAGTGTCATAGATCCTCCAGCCGGTCGCATTGCTCCGCAGACGGACGGCTTAGAGAATTTACATAACTCATGCCACACCACATTCACAGCAGCAATTGTCACACGTTTTTTTCGTGTTGTGCCCCTGTGGGGCCCCAAGCGCGTTTAGTTTGTTTGTGTATGTTTGTTTTCATCCAAGCATATATCCAATTCCCAACAGCATTGCCTCGACATTCGGGTTTACCACCTATAGACATGTATTTATTTCATTTATATAGATCCCGAACATCTCCATGTGTATTCAATTTGTATTCCATTTTGATTTTCTCCCTATATACATTCACACCCAAGGAAACCCTTTGTATTCATCGCCAAGTGATCCCTGAATGTGGCTGCAGGTGCAGCCAGTGTATACATCCCTATTATATACTCACTCCTCTTTAATTCATACAACCGGTATATAAGCATGGCCTGGTCAGCCATGACCAACCATTCCCACTTTTCAAAAACAACTTCATTACGGTCAGGTTCCCATGGGGGCATTCCAGCACCTAAGCAGCTCCTACGGTGGGATCAACAGTAGGGCATCAATCGCGCGGGGCAGATCGGGGCAGAGCGGTGCGCCATGGTGCGCGTCATGGATGAAGCGGGCGTGGAGCTGCCTGCTACTGGAATTGGAGAAGCTGCTGCAGATGATGACTGGGAGTGGTGGGGCCCGAAGTGGGGCCCTGTCGAACCTCGGCCAGAAAAATCAGTGAGCACATGGGTTCGAATCATGGTTCCATGTAGCTTCATGCAACATGCAGGTCTTTGGCATTATAGGACGCTTGCACGGTGGCATGCCGCATTCCAAGGCTGACTGGGTGGATAAAGAGCAGGCGGGCCACGCAGTGGATGGGGAGGACTCAGATGGTGCCATCAGGGTTGGCTGATTGGATGTCATGCGGTGGAGGTTCATCAATTCGATGTATAAAGAAATATATACATATATACATATATACATATATACATATATACATATATACATATATACATATATACATATGTACATATGTACATATGTATACATATATATATATATATGTCTGTGTATAAATCGTTTTCATCAATAGTCATCTTCACGTCCTGAATTCACTAAAAGCTGCTCGGTTTGCATGTTCATTGATTGCCTTTGCAGGAGATCGTGCACTCCTCGCCGAACGATGAGGGATCTGGGGAGGACCTGCATGGCAAGTCATGCATATTTCGTAGATACTTATAGAGCCCATCCAAGTCAGAATGAGTGTGACGCGATGTACAGCCAGCTATCTGACGTGCAGGAGTGGAACCCGATCCCAAAGGCGGCACCGCCGCCGCCGCAGCCGCTGCTGCAGCCGGCGTGCAAGAAGATGCCGCGGAATCGGAAGGTGGCCGAGCCGCACGGCCCACCGCCGTGGCGCCGCCCGCGGGACCCCATGTGCTGCTGAGTTGTAAAAGCCCAATTTTGCTTCTTGTCTTTCCTCATGTGAAAAAGCGTTCTGTTTGCTTGATTGGTTTGATGCCTGCAGGAGGCGGATCACCGGCACGAGCAGGTGGTGGCAGTGAACCAGCAGCCACCGCCACTGCCGCCACCCGCGGCCACCACAGAAACCACCAAGGAGGTGGTGTGGTGGTGTGGCAAAAAAGAGCTTCGGCGGCACTGTAAAGTTTCAACATATACTGGTTTAGCTTGCAATCTTGGAATGCAAATTGCTATTGAATATTGGCCTGTATTACTTGGAACCATATGATTGATCAGTTGATTCCTGCCCCTAAGGAAGTCCACTATGAGGACGGGATGGTCTGGGTGGACGGCAAGTGGAAGGCTTCTGGCGAGATGCAGGCCTACAGGGAGGGCCAGTCCACCAGAACCCGCTCCCGTACGCGGGGAGGGGCTGGTGTGCGGGCGAAAGACTCTTTGTTGCATTGGTTTGCATTGGTTTGCACAGTTTGCAAGTACACAAGTGTCCGGTTGATGCTTGATGCATGTTTTGCGAGACTGGCCCAGCAAAATCATGTGTATGCATGGGAATGTATCGGTTGAATATCTAATGCTTAGTAAACTTGTGCAGCATGATGTTTGCCCACCTTGTGAATGCAGAGTATCGCACGTTCTTGAGGAAACCTTCCAGCAGCTGCGGGACACGACGAGCCACGTTGCTTGGCTTTGTCATACATGAAATACATGGTGTATGCATTGAGTGCATGATGATGACGCATGTGTCAGAGAGGAATGCAATGCAGTGAACATGCATGGAGAATGAATTGGCAGCAAAGGATTTTGTCGTCAGTGCACGTCATTGAGCTGAGGCATCCAGCAGCAGCAGCAGCAGCCTGAGCCCTGAGGAGCGCATGGCAACGATCCGGGGCGTAAACCAGCTGGCTGACGTCCTGAAAGAGGCCATCAGAAGGAAGTGAAATAGGCATGGAAGGCAGTAGCCACCAAAGAATGATTCCTTGAAATGCGGCCAGTGGCCATGTAAACAATTTAACTAGCAAAACTAACATAACAGCTGCATGGGCCATTCAAACTTGGATTGATGGCCTCTGACAGGAAATAAAATTTAGACATCCAAAGGCTTGGATGACATGGCCAGATCATCCAGCTGCGCATGCAGAAGGTGGACTCAATGGCAACAGACTGGGGGGGCCTTAAGTGTTAAACTTTGGCAAATAACCCGTCCTCAAAAAATACCCCCAAAGATCTGCTGGTATAGTATATTATTTAAATGTCTAGAACTCACATCAAGTAGCACGCAAAGGCACCCTCAATCTGAGCACTGCAGCGTGTCTATTGCTGCCACATCACGATCACCGGAAGCTTCGTACAGTATCGTTTCACCCTTTTCGGTTCTGGCTGATCCGGTGTGGTGCTTGTGGAATCAAATCAAATTATAGAACATAACAATATATGTTCTTTCAATGTTTCTGGCCAAAGAAGTAGCAAGCGACGGTTGTCAATCATTAACTTATTTTCACAGGTGATTGGTGAAAAGGATCAGCTTGGAACCTGCATGCCCTGCACGGAGTTGAAGTGACAATGCATCAAATGTTGTATTCAAATCTATAACGGCCCACAATGTGTGATGATGACAAAAAACATGCAGAAAAATGTGCTGATTGTCAACTTCACTAATTAGCGTTTTAGTGCGAGAATTTGGTCGCAGCTCGCAGCTGGCTGGGATGGCGGTCAAACGTTTGCACCCACTATTGTCAGTCTATAGACCCATCAGTTGATTTTTCAAACAGACATTCAAACGCTTAAGATATAAAGAGAAATCTATATAGATGGAGAAGAACCACTATAGTTCATTTCTCATCACATAAAATGTTTGCCGTCCTCACTTAATTGGTCATTTTCTCAATTTCTAAGACCAAAGACTCCTTTTGGCCAAGCAGGATTGCGGCACCAAAAAAATGGCCATGGGGTGCAAGACCGGTGGGATGAGGTTGAGTCCAAGTCCTCTTGCATTGATGGGTGTTTACATGCATGGGATACAGTTTAGACATTTAAAGTTGAGATTTCTTGCATTGATGTGTATATGGATGCTCCCTCAATTACCAAAGATTGCCGCAATCCATCGCTGGGCAGGTGATGCTTGCAATCCTCGAGTCAGGACAGGTGCCGCCATGAGCGGACATGGGTGGTCACGGATCCTTTCCACGTTGTTGCTTGCAAGAAGATTGAAGATATTTTGTTCCCGAATGCGTAGCAAGGGTTCCCGTTTCACTCTGGGGGTCTGGGTGTTGAGGGTGTGTTCGCTCGACGTTGCGTTTGTGGTCGCAACCGTCCGCAACCGTCCGCAACCGTTCGCAACCGTCCGCGCGAGGACCGTATGGCCGTGCCTATGGGAAGTTTTACAGAGGTGGTCCTTTTTGGAAGTTTCAGACGTGTCTTTGCTTCGTTTCGCGTGGCAGGCGTGGCACTTCGTGACATTCAGACGTGTTCTGGAACGTGTCGAAAGTCGTTTTGCGTGGCAGGCGCAATACTTTTGCGACGTTTTCAGAAGATGTGTTGCAGTTTTCGTGGCAGGCGCAGCACTTTGGACGTGTCCATCGTCATTTTTCGTGGCAGGCGCAGCACTTTAGACGTGTCGTGTTGCGTGTTTTTTGTAAATCGCATTGGCAGGGCTGCGTCCAGTGGCGACAAGGTGCAAATTCCGTGGCAGGCGTGGCATTTTGTGCGATGTGCTGAAAATTGACGGAAGCCTCGCACGAAACATCGATTTTGAGGTTGCCAATTTTCACGTTCTAAGGAAAACTCGTAGGAAAACGTCGATTTTGAAGCTACAAAGTGTGAAAATTGGAGGAAGTCTCGCACGAAATGCTCGTTTTGGCGCTCCCACGTGTCGTGTCTCGCGTCTCTGGTTTTCCGGTGGCCTCGCCGTGTCTATGGTGGAAGCTGCAAAACTTCTCCTTTTGTCATGTTGCCAACTGTGAAAATTGGAGGAAGCCTCGTACGAAATGATCGTTTTGGTGCTCCCACGTGTCTCGTCTCGAGTCTCTGGTTTTCCTGTGGCTTCGCCGTGTCTATGGGGGAAGCCGCAAAACCTCTCCTTTTCGAAGGTTTCCAAGGAAGTTGTCATGTCGTTTTGCGTGGCAGGCGTGGCACTTTGTGACATTCCAACCTGTTTGATAATGTGTCAAAAATGTCAAAATTGGAGGAAGCCTCGTACGAAATGCTGGTTTTTCTGCATCCACATGTCTTGTCTCGAGTCGCTGGTTTTCCTGTGGCGTCGCCGTGTCTATGGAGGAAGCTGGAAAACATGTCCTTTTCGAATGTTTCCAAGCAGGTTGTCATGTCGTTTTGCGTGGCAGGCGTGGCACTTTGTGACATTCCAACCTGTTTGATGATGTTCACAAAATTTCAAAATTGGAGGAAGCCTCGTAGGAAATGCTGTTTTTTCTGCATCCACGTGTCTTGTCTCGACTTTCTGGTTTTCCTGTGGCGTCGCCGTGTCTATGGGGGAAGCTGGAAAACCTCTCCTATTCGAATGTGTCCAAGCAGGTTGTCATGTCGTTTTGCGTGGCAGGCGTGGCACTTTGTGACATTCCAAACTTGTTTGATAATGTGTTGAAAATGTCAAAATTGGAGGAAGTCTCGCACAAAATACTCATTTTTCTGTACCATGCAACTCGTCTCGAGTCTCTGGTTTTCCTGTGGCGTCGTCGTGTCTATGGGGGAAGCTCCGCACTCTACACTTTACACTCCACACTTTACATTTTGCACTTTACACTCCTCACTCCTCACCTGAGACTTGACACTCCACATTCCACACTTTACACTCCTCACTCACCACTCCACACTTTACACTCCTCACTCCACACTCCACACTTTACACTCCACACTCCTTACTTTACACTCCACACTTCACACTCCACACTTTCCACTCCACACTCCACACTTTACACTTTACACTCCACACTTTACACTCCTCACTCCACACACTACACTCCACACCCCTCCTTTACACTCCACACTCCACACTTTACACTCCACACTCCACACTCTACACACCACACTCTACACTTTCCACTCCACACTCCACACTTTATACTTTACACTCCTCACTCCACAATCCACACTTTACACTCCTCACTTTACACTCCACACTCCACACTTTACACTCCACACTCCACACTTTACACGCCTCACTTCACACTCCACACTTTACACTCCACACTCACTTTACACTCCACACTTCACACTCCACACTTCACACTCCACACTTTCCACTCCACACTCTACACTCCACACTTTACACTCCACACTCCACACTCTACACACCACACTCTACACTTTCCACTCCACACTCCACACTTTATACTTTACACTCCTCACTCCACACTCCACACTTTACACTCCTCACTTTACACTCACACTCCACACTCTACACACCACACTCTAACACTTTCCACTCCAGACTCCACAGTCTACACTTTACGCTCCACACTTTACACTTTACACCCACACTTTACACTCCACACTTTACACTCCTCATCGACACTCCACACTTTACACTCCACACTCCACACTTTACACTCCTCACACACTTTACACTCCACACTTTACACTCCACACTCCACACTCTACACTTTACACTCTACACTATACACTCTACACTCCACACTTTACCACACCTCACTCCAACTTTAAACAACTCCACTCCACACTCTACACACTTCCACACTCTACACTTTCCACCTCCACACTCCACACTTTACACTCACTCCACACTTTACACTTGTTACACTCCACATCCACACTCCACAACACTCCTCACTCCACACACTTTACTCCACAACTCCACACTCCACACTTACACTCCACACTCCACACACACCACACTCCACACTCCACCACCACACTTTACACTCCACACTCCACACTCTACACACCACACTCTACACGTTCCACTCCACACTCCACACGCTACACTCTACACTCCACACTCTACACTTTACACTCTACACTTTACACTCTACACTTCACACTCTACAATTTTCAAACTCCACACTCCTCACTCCACACTTTACACTCCTCACTTTACACTCTACAATTTACAAACTCCACACTCCTTACTCCACACTTTACACTCCTCACTTTACACTCCACACTCCACACTTTACACTTTACACTCCTCACTTTACACTCCACACTCCACACTTTACACTCCACACTCCTTACTTCACACTCCACACTCCACACTCCACACTCTACACTCTACACTTTCCACTCCACCCCGCAGACTGGTAACAAGGGAAACATGCACAAGACTGTTCAAATAAACTATTGCAGAAAGTTATTGTGCGTGACTGCATAACCATGTGTTGTGACATCTGTGCCATTAACATACGTGTGAGCATTCGGGTTCGTGGGCTTCATCTTGTTTTTTTTAAATACCACATGCGAGCAATTGCCCAGCATGCTTTCATCCGTGCAATAGGGTTTCCACTTTTGACCCGGACACATGCCCCAGTGCAGAATTTGCCCAACCTTCCCCAATCAATTTATATATATATATACACCATGCATCTTACGGCGTGCATCCCCTGCACCTGCAGGACCCATGGCATTGGCTCGATGCTTCGAGGCCAGAATTAGATTAGATTAGATGAGATGAGATGAGATGAGATTAGATAGATTAGATTAGATGAGATGAGATGAGATAGATTAGATTAGATGAGATGAGATGAGATAGATTAAATTAGATTAGATGAGATGAGATGAGATTAGATAGATTAGATTAGATTAGATGAGACGAGATGAGATGAGATAGATTAGATTAGATTAGATGAGATGAGATGAGATTAGATAGATTAGATTAGATTAGATGAAATGAGATGAGATGAGATGAGATAGATTAGATTAGATAAGATTAGATGAGATGAGATGAAGTGAGATGAGATGAGATGAG